TTGCTGGTGCTGCAGATTGGTGATACAACACTGTCCTCGGCAGAAGGCAACACTGAAGTTCATAGAAGCGATTCAACTTTTATGCAGTAATAATTAAAAGAAAAAAAAATGTATAATATTTACTGGCATATTATCCTAATTTTAAAATGCGTCTTCACTGAAAGATAAAATGAAGAGAAACGCAAAAGGAAAATTAAGTAATTAATGTACACTTTGCTTCTAGCTTTCACTTCATTTGATTGTAAATTGTTTTCAGTAAAACTGAGAAATTAGTAGCTTGAATAAAGCCCTATAAATTTCTTCAGTATCACATTTAATTGAGGAGGAATTGGGTCTCTAACCTTCATGGAGTCTAACTGTAGCTGGATGCATTCCTAGGGGCTAATTATCCATTCCTCTATATCATTTGCTTGAACTCTCAATTTCTCACTGCTCAGTGCACATTGGGTGGATGCTGGAAAATGTCTGAGAACATGTGAGATGGAAATGTGGGCAGGAAGACGCTCTCGCTACCAGACACTGATCTCAAAAGATGCTGCTTCCCCCCCGGAGCGGGCCTCCAAACTGGAGTGGCTCTCAAAGACATCCACGGCTCTCCGAGGGCACTGCAAAAATGTAATCCTCATCTGAGGGAGGGACAAGGGTTGCACTGAGTAGGCCTTTGCATTTCGTGGGAAGGACAGGCAGAAATAGCTATTTTTCCTGAAAGGGAAAAATACCACGTGAGCTTCACAGTCTGTTGTCTCTGTGCCTCTTATCTGGGTGCAGGAGAAGAATCTTAAAATGTAAGTAGCGTGCATTTGGGCTAGGTGCGAAGTATTGGCACTGTCATTTTGTTGTGTTTATGCCTGAGATGTGATTCCTTTTTATCACAGAGCTAAAAGAATGGTATGTCTTGTGAAGCAGTCTCTTTTTTCTCACCTAAATTGCTCTTACCTAAATCACAAATTGGACAGAAAGAACAATTTTTAAGGACACTATTCTGAATTTTTAGAGAAGAGCTATGGAGAAAGATATCTTTTTATCTTCAGTATACAGCCATGGGTGGTGGCAGGAGATGGCTGCAACCAGTCTTTGTGCCCACTGGTATGGGAGGGGGGCCCTTCCGTCCTGCTGATGGAGCTTCAGCTGTGAGCATAGAGGGCTGCATCAAGTGTTAATTAAGAGAGCAGAAGTTGTTTGGAGGGTCAAAGGAGAGGGGAACTCTTGTCTTCCTGTCAGAGCAGCTTCATTTGTCATGTGCTGTCAGATTAGTCAGGTATCACAAGGGGAGGAATTTGTGGGGCCTCTAAGAGCACGAAGTAATAGACACATGGGTTTTTCTTGTCTGATGCACTCCTTCTGTCCATGGGAAAGCTCCTGTTGCCTTCACTGCTGCTTTAGCTGCTGCTGTGTGCAATGTGGTGGCTGTGTAGGGTAAAGCTGTGTATAATCAATTATTGATATATAATCACTAGATAGAATATTAAGATGTTATAATTATGAAATAAACAAGAGAGTTTGGCAAAGTAGGTTATAACAACAAAAAGAGAACAGATAGGATGCTTACCCATATCCTGGACTCGCTTATGAAACTCCAGCGGAATGAATCTCCAGAAGACACCCTTCTCCCCTGGTGGTCAGCTCCTAGATGGGTCTAGAGAGGTGCAGCCAGGCTCCACCCCTTCTGGCAGCACAGCTGAATTGCCTTCACCTGTGCTCCCAGGGCTGACTGGTTGCTTGCCTCAGGTGATCAATCAGAGGTTCAGGCCGTGATTCAGCAGTTCCCATACAAGCTGTCAGTGGGGTCAGCTCCTTCTCTCAGGAGTTCAGGACACAGCGCTGCTCACATGCTGTGCTTTTTGGGCTTTGAACCTCTGCCTAATTCTGACTTATTTTCCCTGATGTGGTGATTCTGCAGCCCTGAAAGGATAAGCAGCAATATCAATGTATTGCTGGCTTTGTTCTAGCTATGGAGAAACGTGGCAGTGGCTGTTCTGCTTGTTTGTGAAACAGTGGAAATAAAAGCAAAATGCTTGAATAAAATTAGCAAAAATAAAAACAAAGTGTATGGTAAATCCTTCTTACCTTTCTTCATACAGTCTGTGAGTATAGTGTGCACTGAGCTCATGCTGGATAGGGGTGGGCATGCATTTGGAAGAAGGAGAGGTCACCTGCAGTTGGTAACGCTGTTATTAGGCTGAAATGAAACAGGGAGATGAAAGCTGTGTGGATTTGGATTTGAGCTTTGTTTGGTTTGTTGCTGTTATGGTGTGAGTGTTTGATAGGTTTCACTGCCTTCTGTCCTGCAAAGACCAGCATGTCTTACATGAGTCTTTGTTGCTTTGGACAGTTTGTGTCCTTCTTACCAGTTGTTGATCTCTTTGGATTAAGTTATGCTGGCTTGACACTATGCAGAAATCAAACCTCAGAGAGGTGCTGCACATCCCTGGCTTTTTTCAGCAGGATATACAGTGTAACACAGCTAAATTTCACCAGCAGGTTACCCGGTGCGTGGCCACATCCTACGCTGGCCGTGGAGCTTTTGTTGCCTACGCTGTCATTGTGTATTAAGAATTAGTGAGAAATGTGTGCTAGATTGCTTTAGATGTGGTTTGTGTATGATTGCTAACGTGTCCTGACAGACCGCGCTGCCCCAGCTGTGCTGCCGTGGTACCACCAGAAGGAAAATCCGCCACTGCTGTCGAGTTCAGAACATGGCTTCGTTTGCAGCTTCCAATCCTTATTTCTACATGGCTTTATGAGACAAAGGGGCACTTGTTGGGATGATAGCTTCTGTACTTACCTTGGAGACTTTTTACCAAATGTATCTTCCAAATTCTGCAGGTATACAGAAATCACGCATGTTTGCTAGGGAGGAATGCTTTCAAAAATGCCTTTACACATTAGATTTCCGAAGGAGCAAGATAATACATGTTTTTGTTTTAATGAGAGCTAATACATTTTGCTTAACGAGGATTGAATTGGGCAATCCTTGTTGCTCGGTTGTTTGTGAAATTAATGGTAAACCGGGCCATGCTCAGAGGGTCTGATCCCAGTGTTGCTGGACCACATGGGTTGTCTCTGGGCTGTGGAAAGAGGAACATTAGGTCTTTAATGCTAAAGCAGATAAATGAATTTTTTTATTTATTTAAAGCTCTGGGATGGGAATCTCTGCATTTGTTTCCCATCAGTCTTATCTATCTCCTGTGCATCTTACATCTGTAGAGTGGTGTGAAAAAAACTCCCATGTGCCAGCTCAGATGTTGGGTGGAAGCAGGAGGGAGAAGCTGGCTGTGACAGCTTTAATGAAGGAGAAGGGCTGGGAGTTGGGAAAGATGAGGAAGGGATAAAAATTTGAAAAATGGGACACGAATGGTAAAGCATGAAAGGAAAAGCACAGGGAGAGGACAAAGGAGGAAGCAAAACGCAGGGAAACTGAAGTGCAAGTGCCAAAGAAAAGAGAAAATGAGGGAACAAAGCAGAGGAAAACAGTTTGTCGCAAGATTTTATTGTTTATTTTTAAGTATGTAAAGCAAGAGGCGTTTCAAGATGTGAACGTATTTATTTAGAAACAAATGCATACTTGAAACCTTTATAAAACACCTCTTAAAAAGAAGTTGTAACGCTGACTTTCTGAACTGCAGTTGGAGATCTGTGGGCTTAGTGGGGCTGTATCCCATTTAGGCACACAAACAGATGGCTGCATTAATGGCTGTCTCACATCTGGGGGCATTCCTCCATCATACAGCTCCTTTGCCCCAGGTTCTTGTTCTGCCTTTTGGTCAAAAGTGAAGTGCAGGGAGATCTGCTAGCTGCTGGTGACAGGTGAACCCGGGCAGATCAGTTATCTGCTCTTGAAATGTAATAGCAAATTGTGTGGGATGGAAGAATGGGCACCAGGAACATTGTGCTGCTGTGTTGGCCTGGATGAAATGGGATATCACAAGCGTGGCAGTAGTCAGCAGGATAGTGCAGAGGGCATCCAGGGCATGCCCAAAGCATGTGCTAAATGTGCATTGCTAACACCAGCAGAAAAACATCAAGAAACTTTTCCACTGGGGACAGCAGTATAACATTTCTACACATCTTCAGTGTTTGGGAAAACGTGTGCAGCGTGTAACAGAAACACTGACTCCTTAAGCTGAGAATTGACAGGAGGTATGCCAAAGCAGACAGGTAGCATTAAACAGTCTGAGGGAAAAACTTTGGAGTCCTTCTAGTGTGTAGCTTTTGAGTTCTTCATTTTTCAGAACTATAACATGAGCATTCAAATTCAGCACTTAAATGTAACAGGAAACCTAAAAGCAAATGGGGGTTTGAAAACAGAGGGAAATGTTCTACTCAGATCTTCTGTGTATCATGGTAAAGGGAACATACTTTATGTTGCGTATGTGTCTGCAAAGCTGTGGTATTATTAGAAATTCATTTTAAACCAAGAAGCTCAAAATAAAACTACCTTTTAGGAACACTTCTACTGCTTAGCTTACCACACTGAAATTTACAGCCAACTGATCTGAATGCCTCAATTCCTTAGGAATCTTTGAGCCTCTTGAAGGCGTAAGCATCTTCCCACACTGTCAGATTTGAATATTTAATCTGGAGGCTGAACGGAGTCAAAACGCAGCTCCTTTGGCAATGGAAACTGCCTTTGAAGTTTTTGGATCTTCTGCATTCCTTGTTTCCTGTTTTAAATTAAAAGAACAAAGCGTTCTCGGATAACGCACCGCAAGCACCGTGTGAAACCTGCACCCCAGCTGGCTGGCGCAGCGAGGCAGGCGTTCCCCTGCCCATCAAACAGCCCGCCCCAGGCATGAGAAGTCTGTGCAAGTCAGAGCTAACTTGGTTGGTTGTGTTCTCGACTACAGGCCAGCCAGAATGAGTGCTTCATAAAGAACGCTCACGCCTGTGCTTTGATGAGGATGTTGAAATAGCCAGTTGTTGTAGAACTTGCATTGATGACTTTTTTTGACAGAAGAAGCCCCTAATTCATTGCCCCTGTCTTTCTCTGTTTTTCATAGGTCACTTCTGATCCAGCTTACACAGACCTTCCATGTTTGTTCCCTGTCTACAGACCACGAGCTCTCAGGTTCAAGGCAGCAAGACTCACAATCCTGCTTACGGAATGTGCCTGTTTTGCAGTCATGGAGGCACCCGGCCAGATGAGGTTTGTGGCTTTGTGTTTGAAAAATTAAGGAGTCGAAATCAACTTGAAACTTGTCTGATTGCACCAGGCCTAGAAGATTACTTTCAGTCTAGTCTCAAGGTGGAAATCTTTTCAGCAGTGCTGATGACAAATGTTTCTCTCTAGGCTAACAATGCATTCTCATCTTCGTGGACTCCCTTGAAGCATTTAGTGTTAGGCTGAGATCATGCTGTCCCTGCACAAAGCATTGCAGAAAGTTCAGAGCTGACTTCTGCAGCACAGAGAGATGCAGAGGGCAAATTACTCATTTTCTTTTACCAAAATCACTGCTGCTGTGTAGGGTTGTGACAAACCAGCTTGTGAACAGAGATCAGGTGGATGATGCTGGATCTGAGCAAGGCAGGGGTGAGGACAAAGGAGAGCTGGAGGATGCCTTTGGCTAAGGCCAAGTCTGCTTACCCTCTGTTGTCCTGTACAGTGTGTCATTTAAAAACACCACTGGATTCTTCTGTGCTGCCTGGCTCTTGTGTGGAAAGCTCTGTGATTAATGAGTTCTGCCACCTCTGGTTAGTGGGAGACTGTGTTCTAGCCAGATGATGCTTAGTCATGATTTTGGAGGACTCTCCTGCCCTGCCTGGGCTAGAGCAGTGCAGTATGTATGTGGGCATAAAGCCATTGGATTGTAGGCGGCTGCAGTCGCAGAGTGCTGCGGCGTTTCACTCAGCAGTGTGCACTGTGGTAGCACAATGCACCATTCCTTTTATCTGAAGTACTCCTGGAGCTACTAGGCCATTTGGCAAGCTGATCAGGGAGCCTGAAATGGCTGCTGGATTTCTGGGGACAGCTGGTTTGGTCAGACTGTTGCAGAAGGGACTCGAAACAGCTTTTCCGTTAGAACAGTTATTCACAAATCTGCAGTGATGATTAAAGAAACACATCACTGGAAAATGTTTGAATACATGCAGATTTCAGAAGAAAAGTTGAACAACCTAATATACATTGTGTATTTATGGTGTATAGTCAAGCTTCATCAAATACTTACCACAGTCACACAACAGGTGTGCCTTTGCACAGCATCAAAGTGAGGGAGAAAGGCTTTTGGTAAAATACCAGGAGATGGAAAGATAATATTCCCACTTGCATTAAGGATTCAGCGGTCAGCATAGTTGGATATTGCCCTTCAAGTAATTCCCAGTTGTTTGGTCAGAGTGACTCAAGCCATTTTTCTCATGGCTTTTAACAGTCTGGATCTTTAGCCTCTCTTTTTGCAGAATGTAATGATTTCCTTTTGTGAGTGATTCAGGTGCTGACTTCCCGGTAGAACATTTTGGCCAGACAGTGAGAGATGATATTTTAAACTGGATTCCGTGAACAGATCAGAACAAACTCCCCAGAAAGCATGCTGAAAGACAGATGAAGGCATTTGCCCTTTTATCTTTGGCAAAACCTCCATAGTGCTGGCTGCTGGATTCTGTTTTTCTGTTCCTGATGTTTGGATGAGATCTGGCTGCTTATCAGGAGCCATGAGTGCTGCAGAAGAGGGTTGTTGGAGGCCCGTTTGGTTGAGGTCTGGGTTATGCCCTTACCAGCCATTAGAGGTGTGAGCAGAAGCCCAGCTGTAGCACCACTCTGTTGGTCCTGAAGACCAAATCTCCACAGGCGTGTATTTTAGAGGTGTTTAATCAGGAGCTGCTGCTCATACCCCGAAGGAATCACAATGGCTCACAGAGCTCTGCTACAGGCTGGTGTAGATGCAGGTGTGAAACATCAGGTTTTAGCTCCTGACCAAGTAAATGCATATGTGAGACCACGGGAACAGCATCTTAGAGGAGGTGGCAGTGCTAGTTCTGACTTAATCACTGCTAGCTAAAATCAAGGCCCAAAAAAGAATAATATTTATTAAAAAAACCTCATCTTTTAGTGTTGTTGTCTTGGCTTCAGATACAGTAGAAAATGAGGAAGCTCTTTCTGGAGCTAAAGCGGAAAGAAATAAAGGAATCAGTATCAAAACAAGGGCTAAGGCTCCAGAAGCTCACACAATTATCTCTCCCGGATAGCTGCAGATACCATTATGCTATAATCCACAATGAATAAGCCACTAGATTCAAGAAGTGCATGCATACTGAGAGCCTGAAGCAGTTCCAGTCTTACACCAGTACTCACAAATACTTTTATTGGAAACAAATTACCCACCCAAAAAATCGAATCACACCAAATGAAGACAATATGCCATAAATAAGGAAACCATAAAGAAAAACTGCTCAAATGCTTCCTTACAAATGACCTATTTGCTACAGGCCCATTTGGAAATGCTGTCACTTGAATAATTTAACAAATTTCTGCTTATTGAGTGACATTGTTCGTGTGCCTTGTAAGCAACATGAATGCCTATGAACCTAAGCCAACTGTGTGGCAAAACAGAAGACTTCACAGTGCTATTGCAATTTGCTTCACAGTTTTTTTATCGAAGGGGAAAAGCCTTTTGAACTGCACTGTGATGATTTCTGTATTTAACATGCGACATATTGACTTTGAAGGCAATACAGGGGTTTTTAATCTGCATGTGGGATGACAGAAGCTCTAAATGTGGTTTGTTCAACAGGTTCAAGCTGGTCTGCATTGATTTGAACTTAAGGTAGTGTTGGAACTGCTCTATTACCTGGAAGAACTCTGGATTTTGGTTAAGTTCATTTTGATCCTGCTCATATTGGCTGCTTAAAGTGTACTTACACACAGCTTGAGCCTGTCTGGATGCTGTTCTTCCTCTTCAGTCATTTTTCTGCCCTGATTTGTATTCCTGCCCTCCAGCGTAACGTTATTCAGAAACTTCTCGTCCTCCTGTGCAGGTAAGCAACTGCCTTTGCTCTTTGAAAACATGTTGTTGCAATTTTTACAAATCATAGAAGACAATTACACAATCTTAAAAGCTATTGCTCGGTTCCCTGCAGTAACGTTTCGTATTTCCCCCTACTTATTGCCACGAGTAGTTCAGCCCAGGCTGATGCCCCATTCCCAGGTGGGGAGCCCTGCCTGCTTACTCAGCAGAGCAAAGTGCCCAGCTCAGGACCTGCACAGGGCCAAGCACTTCTCTCAGCCCAAAAGGTGCACGCCTGAGCCGCTCCCTGAAGTTCTGGCTATCCATACACTGCCCTCCTGGCTGAGAGGATGAGCTCTTTTGTTGTTTTTACATAAAAACTTGGATGATCATAGTTTGGTTGTGTCAGGGCTTGCTGCAATTGTTTTTTTCTTGAACACCAACTCCCTGAACAGATATTTACAATCTGTGGCTGCTCAGTGATGCTGTATGGCTTTTTAATCTCTAGAGGCCAGATGGAAGTGCGCTCCTTCATCATTATTTGTTTTGCATAATTGGGAATTGCAACTACATTTGAGTAAGCAGATAGACATTTCATGATTTGATGTATATTTTTCTCTTCCATGCATATACTTTTTTTTTTTTTTAATGGCAGTTTTCTGTAGGGAAAGAAAAATTGTATGTCCCAAACAGGAAGGATTTTGGTCCGGGAGTTTTAAAGAGAAAGGGACGCTCAGCTGTTAGGTTTCTAAGAGCTGATGACTTAGCACAGCTTCTGAAAGGACTGCCACCGGGCTGATCTTGAATGCTGTGGGGTTTGTGTCACTGTCCTTGTTTCAAGCTCTACTGCAATCCTCGCTTTGACTTTAGTTGCATTTGTGGATGTGTTTTCCACTGTTAAGACTGCAATCAATTGATTGAAATCCACAAATAATAACCAGGTTTCAATTTAAGCTGCAGTAACAGGATGCTATTGAGATAGCTCTTATGTACGTGAGAAGCTTTGTATACCTCCCTCCCCCCGAAGTCCAGTCCTGGCCAGCCCCTGGCAATGGGGGAAGGCCCTGGCTTTACCGCCAGCTTCTTGGAGGCCAATCCCACACTGCACCAGCAGCAGGGATGCTCACACTGACGTGTGTGGCCAGCTGTGGTGCTTGGCTGAGCTTTAGGGGTCACAGGCAATGTGGCATTAAAGTAACTGCGAGAAAGAGAAAAAGCAAGACAGACTAACATGAAAAAACACATTTTATTGCACTTAAGTTATAAGAAAATAAAATTTCTAAGTGAATCAAACCATAGACACAGTCCCTTTAAACGTTGTTTTCCTCCATCTTGTCAGGTTGTTACATAACTAAAATTAACCAACTGGAATCTGATTGTTTTAAATCAGACTATAAATAAAACAAAACAAAACAAAACAAAAGGAGGAGAAAAGATCGCCTAGGATACAGTGTTAAACCACTTTCACAGTTCAGCTTGAGTTGTGGCTCTTGGAGAATGAGGCAAACTGTTTGACTCTTTCATTTCTCATTTTGTTTGCATGTGACATCTTTACAAAAACCTAAGTTTTTGCTCTGTCAGTTCCTCCCAGCAATAACTGTAACAGTTGTTTTTTTTTTTCTCAAATACTGTAAAACACTAAGACTGACCAGCAACTTTACTTTCATTTTTGTATTTTATAATCTTTTTTAAAAATTTTGTCAGCTTTTTAAAATTTTTTTAATGTTCATTCCATTCACCACAGCCCTCACAAAGAAAAAATTTCCCCACAGAACAGGCTGCAATAGCTTTGTTCTAAGGAATGTGTTTTAATTTTTGCCCAGAAAAAAAGAAAATAAGCTTTGCACACACACTCAATTCTTTATTTGCAGGCAAACTTCACTCTTTAATTGTCTGAAACTCTTCCACTCTCAGCCTCTTAGAGGCACAGTTGGCTCAAGTTTCAGTGGCAAAAAGTCTTTTTCTGTAACCAAACTAGAGCAAATTTGGAATTCAGTCTGGGACTAAAACGTCACAGCAGAAAAAAAAATAACAAAAAATAATTTGCTTTTTCTTTCTTTCATTTAGCAGCATAAATAAGTTTGGCCACTGGGAATACAGTACAGGGGTGGGAAAACAATCCCGTAATTGAAGACCTACTTCTAGCACCAGCGTTGCGAATTAAATCCATCAGAGGACTCTCAGAACCCAGGACAACTTGCCACCTCAGAGCAACTTATGCATTGAAGAGTGTAGATGGAAGCAACGGTAAGTAGATTAAACAGAGGCTAATACTGTGATTGACGTTGGCAATGGTTGGCAAAAAAAGGAAGAAAAGAAAAAAAAAGAAAAAGCTCTGATAAAACTGCACAAAACAATTCACAGTACTATTTTAGCTTTTCCACACCAGGAATGGACTCTCTTTGTTTTGCAGTTGGTTTCATTGCAGATGCTCTCTGGTTTTTGAAGTCAGCCGGCGACCGCTCACGGAGGCTGGGAGGGACCCTGCTCAGAGCGGGGCCGGGAGAGCGCCTTGCTGAGGGCCAGGGGTACCAGCAGGCGTGCTTGTGCAGCTTCCTTAAGGATCTCTGTACTAAAATAACCTGGTAACAAGAACTGTAACTTTTTTTTTTTTTTTTAACCTCCAAATTGCTCGTAGAAGCAGCTGGAGGAAAGTAAAGAAATAATTGCACCTGGTTTCATTTCAGAAGTTGTGTTCTTGCAAAGCTGCCCCGGTCGAAGGTGTTGCCATTTTATGTGACGAGACAGCAAATGCCTCTCTTGTCAGTTAGAGTTTGTTATCGTTGTCTTCTCCTTCGTAGTCTGTAGGTCTTTAGGATCTGTTGCCCCAAGCCAACATCCTGCACCACCAAGGACAAGGGATTTTTTTTCCTTTTTCTTTTTTTTTTCTTTTTTTCTTTTCTTTTTTTTTTTTTTTTTCTTTTTTTTTTTTTTTTTTTTCCAAGGGGAGGGAAAGGAGAACATCGTCTACACGTTTGGATAAATTCATCTTTCTGCCCTTCACTTCATATCCACGTCAAAGTCCAACACCAGCAGCTTTGTTTCCTCAGTCCCGTTCCGGCTCCCAACGGCGCACACCAGCTTTGTGTTGGAAGCTCTGATCCGCCACACGACGCCTCCGCTTCCCCCGCTCTCCAATGTAACTAGATTTCGGATAAATTCACCCGTTTTCAAGTCCCAAAGTTTTACAGTCCCATCATCTGAGCTGGTAATTACAAAGTTCTTGTTGAATTGTAAACAGGTCACAGCGCTCTGATGTTTGTTGGGACCTAGAAGAGCAAACCAGAACATTTTTGTTTCTAATGGGAAAGCAGTGACAGACAGCGCTGCACGTAATGTAAATACCCATCCACTTGAGTGCAGCTGTTTCTCTTAGATGTGTTATCCCTGTTTTTGTGCTTTAAAAGGTACAGAACCTTGCCTTCTGTTTTCAAAAAGCGAAATTTCCCCAATACTTCTTTGTTACAGTGATCTTGTTTTGTTCCATACGCACAGCAGGCAAAGTGCAAGCTTGGAAATTCACGAACATGAACTTAACTGTGCAGAATGAGGTGAGCACGATGCATGTTTTTCTCCAAGTCCCTTTGAAGTGTTATTATGGGATTACTCTACTGGTAAGTACTGAGGGACATATAGAGACGTATAAACTGTTAAAACAGCAGCCTGCTTTTCCAGCGAAGTTTAATTTTCTGCTGCAGCCAGCATTGCTGGATATGATATATGACTTTTTCTGGAGAGGGAACAAAATAATATGCTGGTGTGTGTGATGCATCAGTGGCAACTGTAAAAATGGAAACCAAAATCTTTTTTCTTACTGAAAAAGTGAAAACGTCTTCCACTCTTTTCTTTTGATTTATTGCAATAGACAGTTTGCTTTGCCTCCCAATCCAATTAATCAGTAGGCTCTGAAACATCCAAGTGACCCCTAAATAATACGTCGACTGACTGTTTTGAGATGTCATTTCCTACATATTTCTGTGGCTTATTAAGCTAATACACTCACTGCAAATTTCTCTCAGTTCAGGCCATCTGCCTTTCATAATAGGCAAGTGATTTGAATAGATTAGATGAAATTCCTCTAATTCAGAGGAAGATCATACAGCTGTCATCAGAAAAATGATATTTAAGTTGTAAATGGTCCGTGTTTGTTTCTTTGTGTGAAATGGTTAGAAGGTTTTATACAGGGTCTGCAGCACAGATTACTGCAGGCAGCTTGATTTATATTATGTTAGTTTGAGCTCACCTTGCAATGTCTGTAAACATTGTCCTGTTTTAATGTCCCAGATTTTGACTGTAGAATCAGCATTTCCAGACACGAGTATATTGTCCTTAAGTTCCATTCCACTCGTCAAAGACTGGTGGCCTGTGAGTGTGTGAATGCAGTTTCCTGTCTCCACATCCCAAACTCGGATGGAGGTGTCAAGAGATCCGCTCACCACATGGATACCATCAAACTGCAAGAAAGGTAAATCTATTATAAACAATTATAATGGAATTTCACAATGCTCTCTATGGAGGTAGGGGCTGTTAAGCATTTAATTCACCAGATGCAACATTAGATATATGTGATATATTTGGAAATTGCATTGCAATCTACATAGATGTGGCTGCACTTGATACTGGAGCTGGTGATTTGTGGCAGTGTCATTTCCTGTCATGAACACAGCCCATGGGGTACTCAGCTGGAGGAGAAAGATATCGAACCATTAGTCTTACAAATAAAATACAACTCTTAAAAAGAATAGAATCCTGACTGCTGCAGCATACAGCAGTAAGAGGCTGTTGTTGTCCTAATAAATAAGTTAACAGCCAAACGTGCTTTTCCACAAGCCAGTGGGGCTTTAAGCTGGAGAAAGGAAATAACAGCTACATAAAAACAATACAGGAAAACAGAAGAAAAGGAATTGAAAAATGCTGGGTCTAACCTTTTGTAATCATAGTCGTGTGCAGTAAGGAACTTCCTACTCACTGCTGGGAAAAGTACATATGCTAACACAGATGTTCAAATTCTGAATTTTCTGGGCATGTACTGATATATAAAGTAAAAATATGTAGAAGATAAACACATAGAGAAATGAGTTAAGAAATTAGATACTTTTGACAGAGAGATGGAACATGTAGAGAATATAGATGTGAAAAGTAACCTGAGTGAGAGTGACGATGACGTGAGTCAGGGTTCTCACAAAAGGAAGGAAAAAGAGCAGTAGAATAAAAACAGTGGGCTTCAAGGAGGAATAGGTTAATAAATTGAGTCTTCCTTCCCATGAGGTTTTTATGTATCTCTGAGGGAAAGAAAAGTTCAGGAGAGTTGGCACCTTCTTAAAGACACAAACTGTCCTTGTGTGAAGGAAAGATAGGAAGTGCAGTAAATTACCTAGACCCACTTGGTTGAAGTACAGGCAATTGTACAAAAGCAGAAATGAGATCAATAGATGCACACAAAGGAGTATACTGGGACAAAATCAGAAGGGCAGAGCACAAAACAAGATAAAACTAGCAAAAGCTGTTAAAGATGGTAAAACGCTATTCTGTTTAATAAAAAAAAAAGGCAAAAAAATTTTAAAAAGCTCATTTAAGCTGATTGAGAAGAAAAAGAAACACCAGATGAGGCTATTTAAAGATATTTAACTTTTTTTTGCTTCAGTCCTCAGCCATGAGTGTAGGCTAACACCAGTGACAACTGACTACGAGCTTCCACGAGAATGGAGAAAAAACACACATACAGCAAAGTTGTTTTAAGACCATCGTAGAGACGGCTGATGCTATTTTGAGAAGTCATGGAAGACAGACAAGACTTCAGGTGGCAGGTACAATTTCTCTTTTTGTTCAAGGGTGGGAGATTGGAGAATTATGGATCAGTCAGCGTAACTTCAATTTACAGAAGGAACTAACAAATAATACTTGGTGCAAGGATACTATCAATTCACAGAGTAGTTAGACATATCAGTAAGAGCTCTGGGGGTCTGGCTAGTATTTTCATTAGGATTTGTGTGACATTCACAATCATAGAACCCAACCCAAAGGGATGCATGTAAAAGTCAGGAGAGAATTATGAGGATCTGAGCTCGGCCAAGAATACATGAGGGTAAAACTGCAGCCTGGGATAGCCAGAGCAAACTAACACTGTTTGTCCATGCGGGCTTACTGGTATCTTGTAACAGAGAAGAGAGAACCCAGCTATCTGACTGCTTCTCTTTGTAAAACCCCTTGCATCTCAGAGCAGCTTAGATCTCTACCTGTAGTCATGGTCGAGTGGCGCTTTGGTTCAGAAGATTTAGGGAACGATTGGCGCGTGCAGACTGCTGGCTGCAATACATTGCATGTCCAGTGAAAATTTACTAAAAAACACACATGCTGGTATCCAAAATATGCTAAACAATACACATAAAATAACTCTTCCAGTACAGCAAGCATTGCTGAGACTGACTAGAATTCTGCACCCTGTTTTCTGCACTGTACTTTCAAGAAAGCACGTGAACTAATTCGAGTTTGGATAAAGGGATCAGGAATATTGAGCAGCCAGCATACTTGTTGGGTGAAACACAGCAGAATGGACTTAAACAAAGACTGATGCAAAAAAATAGACACTTTTCTCCCTCTCCTCTCATTTAACTGTATTCTGCATGCATAGAGTATTCAGAAAGAGAGCTTTAAGGCTGAGCATCAAGACAAACTACTTCAATATTGCTGCAGTTAAGCAGACAGTGATTCATATCAGAGGTTGTACTGTGTTTTGTGAGGCAACCTGATTAGTACTCTTAAATTGTTGCATAAAGACCTAACAATTGTTTGGGGGGGTCGCAAATGGGGAAATACTAAAATACCAGAGAATCCACTATGGGGGAGGGGTGGGGAAGACAGACATGCTGTTCAGCCTCATTATTCTATTTATGGGCTATTTAAGCAGGAGCTCACCTTTCAATTTCAACAAATTGGAATGTCCTAAAACTCTAAGTACCTGTAGCCTTCTGCCCCCTCCAACTTCCACTTACAAGCTATAAATACTACCAGTGCATGCAACATAACCCAATTATTTGACCCTTAATTACTCCATTAATAGAGTAAGACATGTAACTTCACCAACTGGAACAAGAGCCACCAGTGAAGATAAGGTAGAACAACAGCACCATTCCCAAACTGCACCAGAAGAGACAAAACCATAATACGAAGTAGCTAGTGCAGTATTTTTAACCTGTTTGCTGCTTGTCCCAAATACTCAGCAGTGCATGAATATAAGAGAAGGGATGGTGATTTGAAAAATATCTAGTAAAATTGATCAAAAAAGACAAATATCTAGTAAAATTGATCTATTATGGTGGAAAACAGTTTTTGATGAAAGCATTTAAGAAAAATGTCTGCAGCACAGAGCTTCATTTTCTGTGCCACAAACCAAACTGGTTACATGCCGAATGCAGTTTCCCAGTTGTGAACTGTATTTGTTGTTAATTTCTTTTTTCAGTTCTGCTAGATTGCAATGAGAACAGGCACAAGCATGAAATTAATTTCTTTCTCCTTTCAGTGCCTGGAATTGATGCTTTCACTCCACGAATGAACAAGATGATCTTTTGGAATAGTAAAGGTAAGAAGAGTCTACATGAGGTCTGTGTATGACTTTGCCAGCATAATTCTGGTGAAGTCAGGCGAGAGGTAACTGGCCATGCCATACACTGGTACCAAGAATCTGCATCTACAATAACGTGTCTCTGCTGCCAAAGCCTCAGAACTGTAGATACAGCCTTTGCTCAGAACTAGTAAAACAGACACTTAAGTCAGGGCATTACATTTTAGGTTCATCCTTACTATGAATTGCAGTTTGGAACTAGAGGATGTGACTACAAAATCAAGATAAACAGATTTGCTTAATTCAGAACATTAATCCAATGGGGTTTCTGGCACATTTTCAAATACTGTATTATCTAACATATTTAAATAGTAACATTAGAACTTCTTTTGGGGAAGCCAAAAGCATACTTCCAAAATGCATACAACATTTAAAAAACACCTAACAAACAACCCCGAGCCTTGCAAAAGTACATTATTTGTCAGGACAGAGATTTGGGCTTTATTGCACTGTGGGCTTTAACAGTACTCTTCTAAAAAAAACAACAACAAAATACAGCCTCTAAATTAAGCCAACATAAAACAAAGATAAAAAAATGGAGAAGGGGAATATCACAGATGCCCCAGTATTCTTTGGCCTATGTAACTCTGCAGCAGGTTTTCACAAATTAATAAAAGAGGTGAAATGCACTGTGTTCATATAAGCAGCAGATGAAAATCGCTTACCTGTAATGAATAGACTCTGTTGGTATGCCCTTGCAGCGTGTGCAGACAGGTCTCGGTCTCTGGATCCCACACTTTGACCATAAAGTCATATGCACCACTTACAACCCTTCTGCCATCATACTGAACGCATCGAACTGCAGCTACGTGGCCCATCAGAACATGTAAACACTGGCCCGTCTCTATGTCCCAAACTCTCAGTGTAGCATCTCGAGAACCACTGACCACTCTGGAGGAACAAGAAAACCCCTCCTATATTTAGTGTTGGAAATAAAAGCATTAAAACAATATAAATCAGTTCTAAGTTTTCATCTGGGATGACTAGACAGCATTTGTCCACTAGGCACCGAAGATCTGGTTTGGTATGACATTTTATTAGGGATGCAAATGACTCAAGTGCGTTTCTTCCTCGCCCTTCTCGTCTCTCCAGGATCTATTTGATATAATTAGCAATCTCTATTTAAAAAGCACTTGAGTCCCAAACAGCAAAATGATGCCATGAGAAACTATGCGGACTACTGTATCCACCCATAAAGCTTATGAATATGCCGAGTTCAAATTAGCACTTTGAGCATCCTGCTTAAATGACTGAATTAACTAATTATAACAATTAAAGAAGATCTTTAGAAGTTACTCTTTTAGCAAAGGAACGATTATTCTGCTTGTTTTTTTTCTCAGTTTATACTTTTTAAAGCCTTTTTAGGCAAGCACAGAAGTGAGAAGGAATTAATATTAGTGGCACAGATAAAGAAAAACCTCCGCATTCTTCAAAAAAGAAATGTAACCAACGGGCACTTGGACAGCAGCACCATACCACAGCCACGTAAAGTAGCTCTGCCAATGTTCCTTGAATCAAGAATTTCTACTGCAGAAATTATGATACAGTAAGTTAAAATTTTAATAAAGTACCACACCAACAATGCGTAAGTCACTCTGCAAAATGAGAAAGTCTGTAACATTTACAAAAAGCCAAGAATAAATTATTCAGTGTGGTAGACTGGATCAGGCTGTAACGAAGAATGATTTTTGGGATAAGGTAAAAGACGGCTTTATAAAGTTCCTGACTCTCTTAGTTTCTGTTCTTTAGTTAATACTTGTGTGCTTTTGCTTCTATTAATAATCTCCTCCCTTAGTCAACTGATGTACTTTAGTTTGGATGCTCCGCCTGTTCCGTATTTCACTCAGCGTCTGATCAGACACCCGAATTTAACAAGTGTTTGTGTGAACAGAGTGCAGATCAGAAGCCAGACCGTGGCTGTAGCTTTGGACAGAGGCTTACCTCTTCTCGTGGAGATGCATGCAGCGCACCGTGGAGGTGTGTCCGTACAAAGTATGTATGCATTCGCCAGTCTCAGCATTCCAGACTTTCAAAGTCCGATCTGTAGATCCACTGATGATGATGTTGTCCCTCATCTGTGATGACCAGACTCCACCTGTATGTCCAACTAATGTTCTCAAGCACTGAAAAGAAATGTGCGGCTCAGTTACTGTTTTGACAGACTTTAACACAAGTTTTAGAAATAGTAATCAAGGAGGTAACAGTAGCGTGTCATAGCAAGAGCCAGAAGGCTCCTGGGGATTGCTCTGCTCTTGTACTGAAAATTTACATCTGCTAGAAAATGCCCATTAAGTTCCTCTCTCCACTGCAGGTACTTGGACCGTAAGGAACTTTCCCTATAATCTTGCTTTTGCTAGACTGTCTTTGCCAAGTTCTAGAAGATGCATTTTGTAGCCTTGAGTCTTCATCTTGGCAGTTTTTCTGAGTCACTGCAGGTTTCCAATATGTTTCTGAAGCATAAACGTTAGAACTGGAGAGAGCATTCACTTAGTAGTTTTACCACCAATCTATAAACTATTCTCTTACTTAATGTTTCTGCTTGTTTATCCAAGAAACAGCACATTCTGTAAGCTACAGCTACAGCATCAACACTGCGAAATCATGTTTCCAACCTTCTACAGACATCACTGTTGCCCAGGAGAGAATCCCACGTTACACACACATGGCTGGCCTTCTTTGGTACTAGCTGTGTGACGTGATTTGTCACCATGTAGGAAGAGTGATTGCTCACGCTTTCTTCTATAAAATCTCACCCACTCTGGAACATTGTTTTGTCTCCATCTCTGTCTGTATTCCTTACAAGTCACGACTGTATATGCATTTTCATCAAGCAGCAGTAAGTGCTAATTAGTACAGACAAGAACAGATCCTTGCAAGACCCCTCTAGAAAGATACTCCATGCAGATTCTGCATTTACATTAATAACCTGATCTCGCTAATTACCCACTTTCTAACCCATTTAAATATATGACATGTTGATTTTTGCACTGCTCTGTTTTCTTTAGTTGTGTCATGGGATACTGTCTTGCAGTGCAGACAGCCATCTACTTCAGCACTATCATTTTTATCATGCCAACCTCTACCTGCATCAGCAAAGAGGTCAAGACAGTCGGCTGATCTCTTTTTCTGTAATCTAATGCTAACTGGAATTAACATCCGTGGCCCTTCTCCATTAATGACTCCTTTTTACGTAGTCTAATATTTTTTTTATCTGAGATAAGGTATCCTAAAAACCCAGTCTTCCAGTTTACTCAGTTTAAATATTGATACATTTTAGCTTCCTTCTGTTGGGAAAAAAACACACCTATTTTACACCACAGGTAACTTTAGAAACCAATCACAGAATACAGGCGATGCAGCTGTCTGAACCAGCTGTAATAAAATACGCTCCAGCTTTGGTGGTTGTTTTTAATGCCCTTTCAAATTTCTGCTGAAATATTCTATCATTGCTGCATGCTGGATTTCCAGTACTTATTCTGCATCAGCAATCAACAGTACACTAATTTCTACTGTAATATCCTTTCTAACAAACATCCTTACGTTTCTGCTGTACTTACATTTCCAGTTCTTCTACCAGTTTTCTGCAATTTCTGCTTCCTAATTCATGCCTAGCAGTTCCATCTTTTTAATTTCATAACTGCTTTTCACTTTTACAGCTCTCCAACTTTTTCAAGTAAGTTTCCACTGATTTGTTCATATTTCAAGAAATCATCCTTGTAAAGCAGTAAGAACACAGAATCCTTATTCTGGGCTTTACATCTGTCAAGGGGATTGTTTAGCCATGTTCATTTGCACAGATCAACCCCTAGGGTTCTTTTCATTTTATTAATTCTTCACTACCAGTAAGCATAAGGGCCAATACAGCCCTCTTTCACATACAGTATTTACCTCTAAGGTTTAGGGTAAATAGTCGCATTAGAATCTGAAATTATTTTCACACAAATTACTGAACATCAATTGGTAAGTTGTGCTATCACAATCAATTTCATACATTTAAAAGAACATTTTGCTTCTGAGAGGCCTGTATACAGAAAGGAGTATTTTTCATCTCAGTTTAGCCTGCCTCTTCAGGTATAATATGAAAAATTTACCATGGGTTCCTTCATTAGACAGTTTGTTGCAGGAAAGCTAGGAGAGGTAGGGAGAGGCTGCCTATTGCTTTGGATTTTATTCTTTCCCACTGTAGTATTTATAACCTTGTCAAGGCATCATTAGGCATGCAGAGGCAAATCCTTTACACGTTCAACTTGAACATTATCAAGTTAATCTCAAAAACTGTCCTGTGTTGAAATAATTATATCGTTAAAATAATACCAAGTCTATACGATACTAGTCTAGATGGAAAAAATACTACTGCTCTGTGGCCTTTCCTATAGCTATATGGAACTGTTTGCTGAGTAGCTGTGATGTTCTGACATGAGTGAAATGCTCAGCACTGTCTTTTTGATTGCACATATTGTTTTGCTTCTCTAAGCCAAAATTAAATTATTGAAGCTTATTAAATTCCTGCCTGAGCTGGATCTAATTTAATAGGAAATATTTAAACCTAAAGCAAGTTACACTTTTTTTTTTTCCTGTGGCTCAGCAGTGTAGTAGCTTAGAATGAAAAACAAACTGCATTGGAAAACAGAGCCAGTAAAATCAACACACCATTTCAATAACTTAAAAGCAACAGAAAGAACGATAGAAGACAAGTCAGATCTAGAGGAGTAAAACGAGGCTAAATTAAGCTTTAAGGAAGATAAAGCAACATATCTGTCCAAATTCTTTAGAATCCATGTCACAAATGACTCCACGAGAATAGAAGAATTGCCAAGAGAACAAGGATATATGCCAACAGTAGCATGAGCAGCATTGTAATTTCACATCAAGGTGACTTTTTTGAACCAGTCTCTGTGCAGGAGAAGATGACCCAAATGTCTACCATTCGCCTTCCCGACTCTTTCATCAGGCAGCCCCAGACACCACTGTGGGTGTGGCCGGGCAAAACAGTGGTATTTTCAACCCGTCTCCCAGCGCTAACTGGCAGCCCTTGTCCTAAGAAATCCACGCACGCCATCCGCTTACCTTGCCGGTAACTGCTGACCACACTTTCAGTGTGTTGTCATCAGAGCCGCTCACTATCCGGTTCCCGCAGAACTGCAGGCATGTGATCACGTGATCGTCATGGCCTTTGAGCACCTGGCAGCGAAGAACACAAAAACGTGAGCTCACAGCCAAACTCAGGAGATCAGAAATGAGCAGCAGAAGCACAGTGCCATTCTGATTCACAAATTAAAAAATGCTAGAGTTGCTTCGAAAATAATTCGGCCTCTTAATCCTGTGTGTCAAGTCTCATTTACTGCCAGCTGGGACCAAAGAAGGTATTTTCCTTATTCCGTGGAATAATGCTGCACTGCTTGTCAAGTGTACTGTGGGATTTTAAACCTCCTACAAGTACCAGGATAAACGAGTAATGAAAGTTGGAAAAATTAGTTGCTGGACATTGCTCAATTCTTCTGCAGTTATTCCCTCTCTTTATTTTTTAATTCTTTTCTTTTCCCCCCTTGGACTTCCTCCTTTAAGATATGTTTTGAGCTTTACCAATCTTGAACAAAAATGATAGCATTATATTATTTCCTGCATAATTGTATTTCTATGGTCAAGATCAAACATGCCTATTTTTTTCCTTTCTAACCAAACACTGTCATTATTAAATGTGAAGCTGCACTGAAGTAAAAAACTATAAACCATAAACTAAACTAAGTACAAAAAAAAAGCAATCATTTAAAGGCTGGAAATGTGGACTGGAATAGTACCCGGCAGAAGCAGAATCTTCAATCTGTGACTTGAGAAAAACTGCAATTCAGTATATTTTACTAAAATGTGGCACAGTTATCAGAATACAGAGAATGGGAAGGAACAAGGAATGGCCTTATTTAGGATATTTGAGCATTTCGCAAGATGTTCACTGAAATGAAATGGGCATTTGGCTAATGCCCGAGGCTGTAATTTTAATAATAATTCCAAGATAACTTGATGTGGCATATCGAGGCAAGAAACAGAGCCATGCTGCAGACGTACATGAGTCATGGCCAAATAAACAGCAGGACCTATCCATAGGTTTGTCACAAGAATCTTTTTGTTCTTACTGTTTTGTTGTACAGAAATCAAGACAAGGAAATTGGCTAAAAGGATATGAATATGTTTTTTTTTTTCATGGTTCTGACTGCTAGCTCAATACTAGGTTTGATTAGACAGCTGTTAATTTATTTTAAAATGGGCTGTAGCTATTGCTTCGTATCTTTCTATTGGAAAAGCCATAATGAGAATATGAAATCAATATCATTAAATATTTCAATGTTCAAAAAAAATCTTAACATGGAATAAAATTACCGTCTCCTGTTGCTCAATTTATAAGAATAGCTATAAATAAAGCATGAAATGATCACAGAATAGTTGTGGGATATTTTTGTGTTGGTAAGTAGCCCACAACTGCGTGTGTTTGATTTTAAATATAAGTATTTCCAATCAAGTCTGTGGGATTATCTCCCTCGCTAAGACTGGCACATGCACAACCATTCACCAG